GCAGCAGCTGTGAAGGTGCTGACAAACAGAAAAGTCTCAGATGGAACTGTCTCTCTGTGTGTTTGTGTGATTTATGTATCTCTGCCTCAGTCCTGCAGAACGGACTGTTGGGGTGTGTGTGTGTGTGTGTGTGTGTGTGTGTGTGGACAGCGTCTCTGTGGACATGTGGTCTCTGATGATGACAGAAGTTCTTTGCTGACCTGTACTGAGTGAAAGGTGAAAGGTCAGGGATCTCCAGGCTGTCTGCGTCTGGTTGGTTGTCCTTCTGGTAGACGACCTTCCAGGCCTCCTCGTCTCCGTCCTCCTCCACCACCTGTCCCTCCACGACCCATCGTGAAATCGCCGTCTTCCCATCAGGCCCAGGGCGGAAGCGCAGTGTTGCCGTGCGAGGGCTGATGTTGGAGATGACTAGATGTGAAGGAGCTCCAGGAAGTTCTACAGACACAGAGAAGCAGAAAATAATGAAAAAAAAACTAACCAACAATGAGAGGTCCCCAGTGGTCGTCATGTGTCACTGCAGCTGGATCACATCAACTGTTGGCGGTGAACGCTGCAGTACCCATGTTTCACCACTGTTAGGACTGAACCACCTCAGCCTGTTCACATTAACAGGCCACAGTGATTTATGCTGCAGAAATAAACCATCTTATAAACATAACATTTATAAAAACCAGAGAAACACAGTGAGAACTGCTGCCTGACTCACAGTAAACAGAGAATATTAACGTCGACAGAGGAGAGAGACTGACCTGAACTGTAACGACTGTGAGGGAGTGAAAATAAAACACTGACCACTGAAAAAAAATTAATTTGGCTAAAGAGCAGCCACTTATGTTGCCACTGCATTTCTCACTCTGTCACAGCAATTCACTTCATGTATTTGAGTTTGGCAGTAATGTATGTGGGGGGGGGGGTCAGTTTGCCAATGAAGGCAGGAGAAAAATGAAATGCACAGTCCACTAAAGCCAATTTAAGGTCTATAAATGTCTGAGTGAGCTCCAAGGTTCATGAATTATCTTTGACTGCTCCTTATTCCAACACTCCTCCACCAGGACGTGACAGGAAGTAGGTAAGAGCCGCACACTAAAGTGCCCGTCTGTCCAGCCGTCTACTAAATAGGACTAAATATTACATGAGAATATTTCTGAATGAGTCATTGTAATTGTTAAAGAAAAGAAAAAAATGTTGCAGTGCTAAACTTCAAATCCAGAAATAAAAAAAAAGAAAAGAATCAAAATGCTACAGATGTTAATTCCTGGACCCAAGTCCTAGGTTCTGGGTTCGTCATCCATCAGGTCACGCGTCATCAGTGAGGTGAGGTTCATGTCTGCTGAGACACTGACTTCTCTGGAGTCAGATTTACAACAGTAAGAACCTAAAAGAGCATCAACATCATCACCTGCTCATGGTTCATATCCATCAACATTCCTCTTTCACTGACACCAACACCAACACCAACACCAACACAGGAACACATCTGTTCTACAAAGAACGATTCTTTATAGAAATGGACAGAACTCCTTCCTGTGTCTAAGAAACTCATATTTACTGTAAACAAATTAAAGTCTAGAGATGAGATGAGAGCAGCACTAATTTAATTTGGACCTTCAGGAAAAATACAGTT